GGGGCTTTTTTTTTTTTTTTTTTTTTTTTTTTTTTTTTTTTAAAAATTTTTTTTTTTTTTTTTTTCTTCTCCACCCCCCCCCCCCCCCCCTACCGCGTTTTGACAGGCAGGGCGTTTTGTTCCCGATTTTGTTGTTTTTGATCATCGAACATCTCGAAACACATCGATTGAACTAGTTAATTACATTTCCATTTAGTCATCAGAAGCAGTTGTCTGACTATCCTACTCGCCATTTCTGTGTATGCGTGAGATCCCTCTCTTCGGCCAACAGAGGCAGTCATATATAGTACTCTTAACCTCTTAACCTCTAAGAACATCCGTTGTTTTACCCTTTAAGCTCAAGTTGAGCTAATTCTATGTCCTCTATTTCGGTTGGTCGAATCGCTGTCACCTTGGAGATTGGTTTGCTGTCCGTCTTCTGTCTAGTGCATCAGGATCAAGAACCTGCATCTAAAAGCGATAGACCTCAAGAGGCCTAAAAGACCAAGGCTATCGCTGAGCTCGCCGAGCAACTAATTGATGATGTGATCAATCTGTCCAGGACAATTCGAAAGCAACCATTTGGAAGGTCGGTATTCACACACTTGAAAAGATAAATGAGCTCTCATTTGTTTAGAATGCTGAGCCAGTCCGCACACTTGCCAGGCCGCGAGACTGATATTATTGATGGATTTCGGACTCTAAGCTCAAGATAGGAATCACTGAAAGACCAGCCATGGCTTTAAGACGATGGAGCTGACGCTGCTCCTAAGTCATTCTCCTAGGTCGCATATGCGTGTTCTTGTTGATATACATGTTGGAGTGTACCTGCCATGTGGATAAGATAATGTATGATTTCGAGGGCAGGAGCGCATACACTTGGGAAAAACCTCGCCACATTTCCCTCTCATTCCCTGATATTCTTACAAGTCATAAACCTATACTGCCACCCCTGCCACCCAATGATGTCATAGCGTGCGCGCTTAATATAACAACCTTCTGCCACCTGTTTCTTTCGATCCATATTACTACAATCTATAATTCTATAATTGTTATCCTCTTACATCCATTCCGAAATTCCAGAATTTCTGCAAGCACGCTCAAATCTACCATAAATCAATCACATCATCATGCCGATCGAATCCAACCAAGACAAAGGCGCCACTGGAGCTGCCAAATTTGTCACCTCCACACTTGGAAACACAGTCGGTGGTATCACCCGCACAGTGGGTGGAGTGACAGGAACTGCCGGGCGAGGTCTCGGAGATACTATCAACAGCGCGACGGGGAGTGCTGGCGAGCCGGTTGGGAATGCGCTCGGTAGTGCAAGTTCAGGTCTTGAGAACGGGGCGAAACGGGTCGCCCAGGGAACGGAAGATGCTGGACAATGGAAATGAGATCTTCCGCCTCTTCTTCCTTTCTCTGGAGTCATTGCGATCAGCCGAATCATACCGCTCGGGCTCTCCTAAGACATAGCAGGTTCGAGTCCCTGTAACTTTTTCTGCACATGGCCCTATTTCTGGACAGCCTTCGTCTTGGTGTATCTTCCTCGCTTTTCTAGATATCTAAATATTCTATCAGCGCAGGATTGTCGATAGCCTTCGGCAGCTCGTGACGAGTTGTCCCTTGTTGTACATAGAAAAATCATCTGTCCGGTTTACGTTTTTGTTTTTGTCTATGTATACGAGTGGAAAGATATATAAGAAGAACATCTGGAAACACGTACATCCTATATATAATGTCTAGATATCACATTGGGTCGTAGATTCTTCAAATTTTACGTCGTTATGGACAGAGGTTGCGTGAGCAGCCGATACAGACAATCAGCTTCAATCTGAAGCCTTTGCATGAGCTCCATAATGAATGATTGGAGCGTTAGCCCCCGATGTATGTATGTATACCTGAACGTACGGCAGCCCAGGTAGAGCTAATGATATCAAGAACCATATTTAGATATTGTCTTCCGCTCGTTGCATTTTCTTGAAGATGCTCTCCCACACTTCCGCAGACGGTACCAAGCTATCATGGTCAGTGCCAGAAACCACCCTCGAATCAAATTCAATTGCACCCTCTGAGTCCCCATCATTCATCTGATGCCAGCATCTCTCAAAATAGGCTTGACCCTTCTTGCCGCTCATGCTGTCGGACTCAGCAAACAATGCCTGGACTTTCAGTGGCGGCCCCTCCCGTCCTCTTTCGAGCTCTACCAACTCACGCACAAAGACCTCATAGTCTTCACATTTGTCCCACGTGTTGGGCTCCTTCCGTAGACATTGTAGCGCCTCACTGTTAGCGCCAACCGTGTCCTCTTTGAACATACCCTGCATCATCAAAGAGTCTATCTCCTTCTGCTGGTCTATGTCTAGTCCATAGTTCTGCGCAATGTACAGACTGTTCTTTGCCTGGTCATCACCGCTCTTTGAGGGAAAGGAGGCAGAGAATTTGGCAATCATTTCTCCACTCGTTGCTGTTGCAGACGCATCATTGGCGAGAAAGAGACGTGGGATATGATGCCAGAGCTTGAAGACTGGGGCGGGGATATATTGGGCTATTTTCAAGGATGTCATGCCAGATTTGGCGGGGTCAACAAATGGCGCTGTCATGTGGTTAGATCTCGGCCTTTGAAGTTGGAATATAGCCGTCCAATATGAACAATATATACAAAAAGGACAGAATTATCTGCAGGAAATTTAACATACCTAGAACGGTAGCCATCGGTTTCTCGGGATATAGGATATCCCGACAGTGATACAGGGTGTTGAACAGATACATAGTGCCAGCACTGTGCGACGCCAACGAAACATGCTGGATGTCTAGATGGGCCAAAAGCCGTGGGACGGTCTCAATCCAGGTTGACATTCGCTGCGCGAGCGGCACGTCAGTGGAATTCCCCATTCCGGGACTATATACAAGTTGACCTTAGTTCATGTTATATAAAAGGGCTGGTACACCTACCGATCAACAACCAAAACGCGGACGCCGCATTTATCGGCAATCGCGTGTAGACAAATACCGATGTACCGCGATGAAAACATGCCCGGTATAAAGAGAAGTGTCGGAGTGGTTCCGTTTGCATCGGGCTCGCGGCCGTAATCACCGTAAGTCACATTGAGAGGGCCATGAGCAGGAGTTGGTTCGATGGTGAAGGAGCGATGGAAGCGGGAGTTGGATACATAAGAAGCGGCAAATGAGCGAGAGGATGTTGGGTTAGATTCCATTGCTTAGAAATATTGAAAGTTGTTAGAGATAGAAGAAAGTAAGAAATTTCAGCTCGTATTGAGGGGAAGAATAGGCATCAGAGGATAAGCTTGGAAGTTGGATGTGGCGGGATTATCTTTCAGCCGCCATTTTCTCTATTCAATCTATCCAAATTACCCGACAGGTTTCTACTGAATCATTTTGTCAGTATATATACATTAAATCTTGTGATGGAATATCCAACGGAGTCTGAGGCTCGGCGATGATCGAAGAAGGTCCACTTTCCGCCTTAGGTAGGAGTCATAGAAGTCACGAACTACCAAAAAATATCCGCTGAATTCCACCCGACTCATCTCTTTGTATGCCCTAACTTCTGTGAAAGTGTCTTAATATGTTATTTTGTGCCGTATACTGGTAAATGGACGGTGAAATACTGCTGGCTGGGATACAAGAAGCGACAGCGGCAAAAGCAAGACAAGATATTTCTGTATGGTACTGATGCAAATTAACATTTCAAACAGAAATTCCATTCAGACATGGAATCCAATTATCCGGAGGTCGAAGGAAACCGGTGACTCGTGTTGTGTAGTATCAAATCGACAGAGCAGGTTTGACATATGGATAATGACTCGAATGGTGCTAGAGAAATTTACTATATGCTAGGATACTGAATCAGAAGAAAGCAGTCTAGACATATTAATCAGATATTGAACATCAAGAGCGTCACCATCATGTCTTATAATTCCATTGATGAGATATCTCATAGCTGCCTCAATATAGATCTCCGAAGATCAACAATAAATGAAACCCACATTATCTTACTAATGAACATGTACAATCTCATCGCACGGCCATCTATGATCGTTATGTTGTATCCTAGAAGCCCAACGTCGTCCATCGTATAGGGCAAGCACTGACGTACAGTAGAGATGGAGAACCATCTCGGAAAGTACCGCATCGCTAGTGTACGCCACGATAAAAGCCACCCTACCATAGTAACCAGCCACGCGTTCAGCCATCGTGCCATGCCCTTCTCCATCCGTGATGTCACCAGTTCAGAAGGTCAAATGACCCATCTGAAACGTATATTGTACGTTGGAAGTAGGTTAGAAGCTCAAGCCCCCATTTTCAAACCCATGGTACATCACAGCGCATCGCTGATATGATATCAAATCATTGGCAGATCCACAGACCGGTTAATCCGGCAACATGTATTATCGAACCCGCTCGAATCGCCTTCAAAGCGCCCTAGATCAAAACGGCGTCATATCGGCCGGGGATTGGCTGGCGATCGAGCGAATGAGGGATCGGTAATATTGTAGGTTCTTGCGCGATTACGTAGGTCGGGCTGTTGTCGCTCGCAACAACTCCCGCTGATAGCGCGCACTTCTCCCTCTTTCGGTGATCATCGATGGATCCTTCCGTGGTTGGATGCTTTGTGGTTGGGGTTATTGCGATGGACAACGGTTGAAACTGCTCGAATTGGCACCTGTTTCTTTTGTAATCAATTATACAATGTACATGTACACTGCTTGTACTCGGTACTCTGTACGCGGTATATTGGATAATGCTGTTGGTTTGGTTCTGGTTCTGAATTCGATGTTGCTGCTTCGCTGGGCGATACCCGAAACGTGTTTCAGCCTGTCAAGCTCGGCGCCCTATTGAAAATAATATCATGCCGCCTGCGGAGTATATCATAGGGAGATATAGAAAAGTACCAATAATCATCGCCGTGTCATGCGCATTTAGCTGTAGACATGATACCGGGGGCTGTCAGATGGTCATCTTAGGGGCTAGAAAGTACCTAGATGCGACCGTTCAAAATTCGTCTCTCTGTTCTGCGGTCTGTGGACTTGCTCAAGGATCAATTCTCCGGTGTCCGATGCCGTGTTTTGGAACACGGGATTCCCATGTACCTCCCAGTTGAAACGGTCATTGGCAAGTCGATTTCGCACCCGATGATCAAACGTGAGAGCCAACCACGTTCTAGTCTCTAGAGGTCCATGGGCGGGGGCTTCCAGAAGATTTGCGTTGAACAGTGGCGATACATTCATTGTACGTCGGAATTGAAATGTCAGAAATGTCGGGGGTCAGTATTCTGGTGCCTAGGAGTTTGAAGAGTTCGGGCGCATCTGACGTGGCTTCGCAGGGATGAAGGCTTATAGCCATGACAAGAGCCGCGATATTGGCAAGGTGGCGTCGGTGCTATGAGAGGTTGCTATATTTATCCACGCAGGTTTTTGGATACTTCGTATGTATGTCTACAACATATACTTCGTAATAGAAGAGGTGAAGGAACACCAGTGTCGATCGTATCCTATTCTCAACGGTGAAGTGTACATATAACATCGTGCTCCTTACATCTAACTATATATAGGTACCATGTTCATTGTACATGGGAAAATCTATGCCAGCATACTCCGTACTAGACACCTCAATAGTCAGGTAATAGGCAGTCCATAGATAGGCTTCCGACGCTCAAGCTGCGAATCTCAATCGAACCAGAACGAGTCAAACGGCCAAGCCTGTAGCCCGTCGATCCCGAGAGAAAATAGCACAGCACTGCCACTGCAACCCCCTAACTCAACGCATTATTGTCACTCGGTGCGACCGCGCGACCGCTTGGCACAAACAATAGCACGTAAATAATCAAGACGGTGCCAAGACACTGTATTCATGCACGCTCATGTGTCGGCATGATCACCATGATCGCCCTTGGCGAGGCCATTCCCCATACATTGCATTCAATAGCCGCACTACCGAGACCAAGCGTCAACGAGTCCTTTTTTGAGAATTCGCTATATGTAGCACAGTGCTTGGCAGCGAGGGAATCCTATCACGGAGCAGATGGTTATCCAAGGGGTTTCAATGCCAAGATCTCTTCAAGAAAGGGGGTGCATCATGTATTGAAATAGAATCATTCAACCTGAACCCCCTTTATGGAGACTCGGCATAATTATCTTCCCTCTCCTCCCTTGCTCTTTCTACCCCGTATTGTCGCCCCGGAAATACCCATTGTTCTTCAGCACGGCTCCATACCACAGCTCACGTCGTACCGGGCGCATTCTGAAGATCCAATGCCTAGATCTTGGCAGATTGCTTCACCACGCGCCGTCGCCAAGCATTCCTCCGGTGCGGCCTAGAGCGACTGACCATCTCCTTGCACTGTACACTGCTGGGTGGATCAGTGATCTGCCCGTTCCACCTGTCTTGCCGAGCATGACTTTGTGAACCCTCAGGTCTATCTTGGCGGGGAGGTCATGAGGTTGATGTTCAGGCTGTGACGTTCGGGGGAGATCTGCTCAATGGAACGGTGTTCGCGGTATGAGGCACGGGGTGGACTTGGCATTGGCATTGGCCATCCGAGTCCGACTCGGCAGTTGATTCTTTGATGTGGCGAAGATCTGGGGTATTGAGACATCCTGCACAGACCAACGATTAGTTTATTAGTGGTGTATGGCTCTTTGCGCGAGTGAAACATGTCGGGCAATATCTTTGTCCTCGGGAAAAATGCCCATCTGCCAAGATCGCAGTGACATTCCGGTATGGTAGAACGAAAGGCGAATAGCCTATTGGGATAGTGATTGAAGTCAATTGGAAGAACATGGATATGTCTGAGACAGGATTCACAGGAATATCCAAAGTCAATTCGCAGAACGCCAACAGGGCTTTAGTACGCAACTGCATCTGGCGCAGTGCAGTAGTTCAAAAGGTGGAGGAATATGAAAATGCCTCATACACAGCTGTATTCCGTACTAACCAAATGCTCGGATTAATTCCAACCCATTTACCCGTCCCGCCTATCGCGCATGCATTGCAGCTTGCAGCTATCCAATCTCTTTACTTCTCAACAACTCCACTTCCCCGGTTGTGTTCCCGGTCAACCCATTCTGGTATTCTATTATGATACACTTGCGCTTCACTTTGGGGTTCTAAGAGGAGGATACGTTCTAAGCGTCAAATAAAGATCCCGCTCGTGCCATCCTTTGTCCGGAGTCCGTATCCCCACCTGCACAGTTCACACCTTATTGCGCTGGGCACACGTACTATTCCTTCGTTTACTTACACCCAAGACTTGGGGTAAGTAATAAAGAGCGTGTCAGATTGCGACTCGTCAATTGAATGGCCGCCACGATAATTTTGCCCGGAGAAATTGCCACTGCGATCCCATCGTGCCACGAACACAGCGCTACTACTAGTAGCCATTGACATCAAACCATATTCTCATCGTATAGAACATCCCGTCCCACAAATATTCCCCTACTCCACTTGGGAGAACGTCTCCGAGGGATCGGGAGAGAGGGGTCTTTCTTGGTCCATTCCACAATATCCGCAATGCCGCTCAGGATTAGATCTCATTTTAATTTCCCATTCCCGTTTTTGCGGGAACCCAAGTCCAAGTCCAAGGACTGATGGGGGTGGCCAAGAAATTTTATATTCCCGTCTGCGATATTGCCGTCAGTGCGGGAACTTTTGTCCTGTAAACGGAGGAGGTAGGAAGCGGCTTGTATCCTTGGATAATTTCGAATACGATGTATATTTTCGAAACGGTGTTTTGCGCCCCGGCTGCCTTCTCCGTATTGGGAAGAAGAGGGAAAAATACTAAAAATACAGTGAATCGTTCTTTGAGGAAGATCGCTCGGCTGTACATAGACAATCGTCCTTGTGTCCTTGTCCTGTGTACGTAAAAAAAAGTACACTAGCAGGAAGAAGGAGTAAAGAATAAAAACCTAATATAGGGAAAACTGCTAGATGAACTCAATAGCTTCGAACCAGGCCAATCCCTGTCGCAAAGCCGTTGCCTTGCTAACAAGCTTCTTCCATAATTCGATTCCAAACTCAACTCATTTCCCACGGTCACCCGGCTCGAGGATATGCAATGCAGTGAGCTTGGATTGCATTTACAGGGGTATGCCTGTTCGAACAGATGGACTGTGGGGGGATCTCCTCCCATTCGAGAAGCTTGTCGCGATCTAAACAGAGGTTCATAACCCTACAGGTTGAATGGGGGGTTGTGGCTGCAGTATGCATACCTCCGGGAACCAGTGTGAATGTCAGCATCGGTGATCTTTTTGGTGACTGGTGGAGTTTGCAAGATTTTCTTCTCTTTCGGCGGGAGTTTTTTTATTGTCCGAGTTATGCGATATACTTTGGAGACTGGTTTGCGATTGCGGTTTGCGCAGGGAAGATCTTGCCCGGTCAGCCGATCTAGGGCAGATCTTGATCGCGGCTGACCGCTGTTCTTTGTTAATGTAAGAGTCTTCGTAAGCCTTTACAACATAATGCAGGTTGCTCGTGCATGTCTGTCATCGGGCATGGAGAGGGATTTTCCTTTCTGGTCTCGGTGATTTGTGTGGAGATGGATGACGATAAACAAAGCTGCCGAAAACAACATTGTACTCCGCGAGATGTATTGTAGATCGATTGTATGCCCAACTAGATGATCCTAATCGCTTTGCCTCGGAATGACGAAGTCGAACGAGGCCGTGCTGGCGAAGGGCTGAGTGGACATCCCTAGAAAATAGGACTGCCTTGGGACTTGCCACTGGAATGAGAGCCAATGGGAATAATCAATTCTATCTACAAATTACTGGATGTACAGCATGTATACCAAGACTGATCTACCGGGAGGAAGCAGAGCCAAGAGTTTCTTTTGAGGTACAGTTAGGAGTCCAGTGGATACGACTCTGTGTGTACTAGTAGTATCCATATGTACTCCGTATACGGAGTACATATGGATACCTATGTGCACAACCTGTAAGGTATATACGGAGTAGTATGTTGTATATTGTACGATATGCAACATCCAATTTCCCAAGCCTCCTCTATCCGCGAAGCTCCGGAGTTAGGTCATCGGAGGATTGAAGTGGTGTGAGGCTACAAGGAAGGAATGAGGATGGAGGAAGAGTAAATGACTAATATTCCATGTCACCCGCGGATGCTACGTCAGATGAAGGAGTCATCCGCATTAAGAAATCAACATGAAGCATTCAGATATATGACTCGAGAACTCAGCGAAACCCGCCAAGAGCATGTAGACAAGCGTGTGCAGCGCGTTTATACTTTCAGCTATCATTTCCTTATTACGAGTTTCGGTCGAGTAAGAGAATTCAACCTGTTAGCTCTAGGGCAAATGCGGCCAAGGTTGACGGCTTAGCGTTCAGGCACAATCTGCGAGTGGATGGAAATATTTCTTTTTCATACCGGGTTGCACTATGAGAATGGCCTCTGTAAGTGGAAGATGACCATACGCATACGCAATGGAAAAATTACCGAGGGTCTCCGATGTACAACATAGCACTACAATATACGGTGAAGATATCAAGGCGATTTTTTTCTTCTTCAGTACTCGGTACCAGGATTTGATTGTGTTGGCAAGTGGATTCGGACGGCCACGGCAAGTAATAATCTTAGAGGTCGCAGCTTGGGGAGTTTCCAAGGAAGAGCCTGAAACGGGTTTAGTCTCAGCACAAAATCCCTCATAGCCAGCGCTGAACAGACAATGGTCATCGTGGTCCACTTGAATCAATTGACCTCGATCTTGAAGGTGAAACCGTTGATGTATTTATTTGTAGATATATATGAAATCGAGATAAAGAAATAGAAATAGAAATAGACATAGAAATAGAAATAGAAACGAAATAAAATAAGAATCCGAAATAAAGACACGGAATATCTATAGAAATACAATCCATGGTACGGTACAAGTAGCGCAGGAACCAATGTCTAGTCGCAGGACACATTTCCAGCTTTTCTTAGTCAGAAAGTGCTACGGCCCCTGGAGTCTCCAGCCCTACTCCGGACATTCTAACCAAGGCAATTTGGGAAAATGGGGGGTCACTGGGGGGGTCAATGGGGGGAAAGAGAAGAAAAAGAAAAGAATAAATCCCAAACCGGCTAGACCAAGCCAAAATTACACAAAAACCGCGGAAATTGAAAATTTGAAAAAATAAAAAACGTGGGAAAAGAAAGAAATAAAATTTCAAAAGGGAAACGCCGCTAGTCCCAAAGCGGCCGTGCCGGGTTGCCGTATCGTCACTCCCACACTCTCTCTTCCCCCCCAGGACATCGGAGAGACCCCTGCACCTTTTCTATGCGAGATCTTCTTATTCTGTTTTTATTGTCGACCTTTCCCCGAACTTCCCCTTCTTTTTTATTCCTCTTTACTCTTTATAATCTCCACTCCATTCCATTTCTTGCCATTCTCGACA